CTCTCTCCCCTCTCTCCTCTGCACCCCCCCCAAAAAAAAAGTTGGAAGATAAAAACAACGCCCCCTCCCCCCAAACCATAATTCAGGCAATGCTCACCGCAGCTATCATTGATCTTGCACGTCAATCAATTTACTTGGAGTTGAGACGCGTTCGGATTGACTGTTTGAATGACGTAAGCAGGCTTTGCTTGTTTGTTTCGGTTCAACTTGTCCCCTTTTTTGGTCTTCTGAAAATCCTTCTGAGAAAGATTTGTTTTTTGAAAAATCCTTTTTTCATGACTTCAGAAACTTTAACCTGGATTCAACATTGTTTCATATTATATATTGGATTTAACACCCGGCAATACAAAAAAAAGAAAAAAGACCCCCCCCCAAGAAAAAAAACCAAAATCCGTTACGATTCACACACAAAAACTTACCAGTAAAGTAAAAATCTGTTGAAGATTTATAAAGATGAATACGCCCTATCAAATTTCAAACAACGTTTAAAGCTTACGAAACTAACAAACAAACAAATAAACAAACAAACGAACGAACAAACAAACGAGCAAACAAAAACCGAAATAACCGCATTTGACACAACCACATCTGGAGTGGAGACCACTGTTAAACTGCAAACAAGACGCTTACGCATTTTCGATTTTTGTTGCTTTAGATCAAGGGCCGCCAAACTTGTCGACATTATTTAGACCATATTTTAGGAAGTGAGTTGCTTCGATTTTGCCTATCAGGGCTTACTGAGGCTGAGAAGGATACAACACCCTCACAGACAAACGGAGAAATTTGATTTTTTTAAATGTATATTATTTTTATTATTATTATATCTCACAGACGAGAATCGAACTCACGCCTTTTGCGTACGTCGGCGAAGATCATGACCGTTACTCTAAACACGCTGGTCAAGTCAATCAGCTTACTTTCTAAGAAACTCTTACACAAAACAACTCTAATCCCAAGGAAAAAAAAAAAAGAAAAAGAAACAAACAAAATAAACCAGCAGCAAAAAAAAAAAAAGCTAACAAATCCAAACACTGGAAATTGCACGACGTAAGCTTTTTTTACTAGCATCTTATAAAACAAATATGCCTGTCATTGTTGGTGGCATGTCTTCAGAACAATAATTGATCCGGGGTGGGGGTAGGGGGAGGGAAGAGAAATAAAAGCCGCAGTCTATCAGGAAAGTCAGCGGTAGCAAAATTGGAGAAGGCCATCGGTGGAATAGAATATTAACCCCACCACCCCGGCAAATCCCGCTATGCAGCTCAAACATCTCGTAACATAATTATATACTGTTAGTGTCAAGGGTTAATAATTGAGTGTAAGAACGTTTTCCACCAAACAAAAAAGCAACACGTTATAAAATGAATGAAACAACGTCGTATTTGGGCAGTGGCGACGTTTGCCATTACCATCTACTAGACAAACCCATCCACGGGGAGATAATTGGACGACAAGGAATCAATAATGAGCTGAACAAACAATGAGAGGATGGGTGGGTAATTTCCCCGGCTTATACAATTACTGCTGAGGCTGCAAGTCATGCTTGTTTTGTTTGTTTGATGCGGGGGG